TTGCCCTACTGCCCTTTCCACTTTCTTGGGTATACAGTGACTGTGTAACTTCATCTCCTTTTCAAAAGCCATGAAACATCTCTGAGTCAAAAGTTTCACCTTTGTGAATGCACCAAATTTTATATTTTCTTGACATTTTACCCTCAGTTAAAAACCTATCCCTTACCAATCCCCTTGATTTCTCCGTCATCATTACCTCTTGGTTTGGAATGGAATATGTTATTTGGATTACGAGTAAAAAATTCATTCACAGAGCATTTATTTCATATTTGATATGTGATAAGTACTTAGGATACTTATTTTGTTTGCAAAAGTTATTATCAGTCTAATCCTATGAATAGTTATTTCTCTCACATGATCAATATAGATTAATAGGGGACTTAATTCCTCATTGTATCTATCTGAAGAGCCAGGTTGAAAGAAACTTTTTTCTGTCATCAGTAATGTAGCAATTTTGTAAGTTGAGTCCTGGTTCTTTACAGTTTCCATATCACAGTTGCTCACTTTAGAAGCAAATTCCACAACCAAACCTATCATAAAAATTATACAATGTTGCCATATTTCTCTTCTTTCATCTACCTTATTTCATTTTTTTAAAAAAAACTCTTAATTTCATTGACTTTTTAGTTTTTTTCTATCAATATTTTGCTTATTTTTCTCTGATCTTTTTTTTATTTCCATCCTTCTGCTAAATTTGGGCTGGGTTTGTTCTTTTTCTAGTTTCTTGACATGTCAAATTAGGGTGTTCATTTGACATCTTTCTATTTTCTTAATGTTGTCATTTATCACTAAAAATGCCCGTCTTAGAACTTTTGCTGCATCTCTAAGGTTTGGGATATTGCATTCCATTTTCATTTGTTTCCAGATAGTGTTTGATTTCTCTTTTGTTTTCTTCTGTGACCTATTGATTACTCAGGAGTGTATTACTTAATGTCCACATATCTGTGACTTTTTAAGTTTTTCCTCCAAACTTTATGGTTTTGGGGGAATAAATCTGTATCAACAGATAGGTAATAGCACTGATTGGGAGGATATGCCAATTAAAACTCCAGGGAAGACAGCACAAGCAGTTGGGGTCAGTGAAGATTTCAGGTATAATTAATTACCAAAGTTGAGGGTGTCTATAGCAGCAATGAAGGTTACTGGGTCCCCTTGATCATCTTTTATCCAGATGTATGTCACAGCTGAAGGGATCCATATTGGTTATTGGGATCATCTGGTGTGGCGTATTGGTGAAGCATCCATCAAGTCAATCAAGTCCTGGACAATGAGAGTCTGAAGAGAGGCAGTGATTCCAGATCCTGGTGCTGGCTGGTCCACCGCAGTAATGATGTGTGAGATGTAGATACACATCACGCAGTCTTGCTGCCAGCATCTGGCGCGTAGGCATATGTGGAATTACAGCAGCTTTGAGGGCAGGATATTGGCAATACTGCAAAGGTGTTGATTCTAGCAAGATCCAGGTATGCGTGGAGCACTGAGGGGACCCAGCCTGAACTATGGCACATGAAAATAGTCTCAAAGCTTGGGCAGACACAGAATGGGCTTTGAGATGGGATCAAAAACATGGTTCCTGAGCACTGTAGTTCTGGTACTCAGACATATACAGGACAGAGGGGACTAGAAGCACTGGCTCCTGTACAGCACAATAGCATCTCCCTCCGGGAGAGAAGGCACAGCAACATTGCCTAACCTGTGGTAGCCATAGAAGTGATGCCTGTCAGTTCCTTCAGCTGTCAGTTCCTTCTGGGCAAAAGCTTCCAGTGTCCTAAAGAATAAGCTTCTAGGATCTGTGCTGATAAACATTATGTGATCTTTTGTTATGAAAGCTGTGGGAGTCCCTAGCTGCTGTAGGAACTGTTGAGGCTCCCACTGGCAAATGCTGCCAAGGTCCTCCCCAGAGCAAACCACTGAGGACTGTGATAGAAATCACCAGGCAGTGGATGCTATTAGCCCCACCTCTCTTCTTTCCGCCTAGTCATCTCCAGACATCTCTGCCGAGCCCGAGGAATCTTTTACATGTGGTTTCTCATTCTGTTTTTAAACTTATGGTTCTGCTGTAGCATTTTAACTCAACTCTTGAGTCCTCTAAGGGCTATTTTCATCTACAGAAAGCTATCTATTTTTTTTTTTCTTTTTTTGGTGGATCAGCACAAAGGCTGTTATCTCTTTCTTTGCCATCTTGCTGACATTCCAAAGATATACTTTTTGTAAATTCCATTTTTAATAACCTCTAGTAACAAATATTAATATTATGAACCACCAATTCTATGTTAAAAAACTGATAGAAATTATTATGCTTAAATTCCCTTTGGTTTTATTTAAGCCGTCTTGTCTCTAGTGTTATTTTTTTGTAAAGAGAGAAAAAGGATTGTCTGCAAATCCCCTAGCAAAATCCTTCGTATGTCTTTGCCAATTCTGTTTCCTCCGCCAGGAAAAAAAAATAATCTCTTCTCCCTCAGCGCGCGCGAGCACGCGCACACACACACACACACACACACACATACACAACATAGTTAAGAATAACATCCTTGAAATTTCAGCTCAAATATTAATTATTCAAATTTTACATTAGTCAAATCACCATCTCTGTCCCACATTAGTTTCTTATTCTCTGCTGTCCTATAGTGCCCTGCCATGCATTTGCCATGCTTTGTCACATATTATTGTATGTATTGATTTTCTTTTCTAAGCAGGCTCAGTGATTCACTCATTACTGTACTCCTGTTGCCTAACATATCTGGAAAATAGTGAAAGAACAATAAGCGTCATTTAAATAAATACATAACAGATGTGAATGAGATTTTCTTCTATATTTGCCCTTGCCTCAAGTTTCTTTTTTCAAGACATTAATTAATTTAAAAAATACTGCTTGAATGCATACTAACTGCAAAATGTGTAACGAGAGGATATAGAGAATTGATTTGGAATAAAAAATATCCGATATGTTAAATTTCAACAATTATTATTTGTTGGATGTCTCTGCTTATGGTTCCCATGTTAAAATGAAAAAGAAAAAAAGGAAAGGAAGGTTCCCATTAAGACACAGTAGGCATTGTGGAAATTCTTAATGTATTGGACTTTTGTTATAATTCTTTTGTTTTTAGTTGCTGTCTCTATTGCTACATTAAAGTGTTAAGCTTATACCGAAATAGCTAGTATTCAGTTTCTAAATAGTATTCAGTTTCTAAATATACCTATGGTTTAAGTCACCTTTGATGGGCCAGTTCCCAACTAATCAAGGACACTTGAATTTTAATTTGTGTCTTGTAGTGTTGGCATTCTTCCAAGATAGGAATAGATAGTGTGCTCATTAAGCTGGTGGCTAAGACTGTTTTTTCAAATAATTGATAAAACACTGAGCCTTAGAACTGACCACAGAGGGACAGCTCTCAAAATTTGACCCTAGTTTGTTGTACAATCTGTGATCACCACCTATGGGTATGAGCTTTCCTGCACTTGTGTATTTACCCTTACAGAACAGTCCAAATTTCCTGGTGAAAAATGGCACAGAAAACTGTGCCAGAGACCTACTAAAACCTAGATATATTAAATGTCTTCCTTTTTCTTAGCATCACCGCTATGTAGAAATTAAATTGTTCCAAGGTGATTAACTTTCATAAAACAATATTAATATTTGGTTGAATATCTGTGCTTCTAGGAATTTGTTAGGTAATAATTTTATGATTATATCTAGTAGTTATTGAAATATCAAAATTAGTCTCACTAATCTTTACATAGATAACTTGTTATTATACTCTACAAATTCTACACTCTCATTTTTTATTGCAACATGTCAATCTTACATCCTCTTACATTCCTAATCTAATTGCTTCCTGTTCCTGCTCTTGCTAATTCCCCCTCCTGCCCAATATTGCCTCCCTATTTTATCACAATCAGTCCTATTCTCATCAAAATCATCTGGTTTGTATAACTGTTCCTTTCTTTGCTTCTTAACTGTGCCTTTTATAATATAGAAGTGTTGCAACTTTGTGTATAGGAAAGAAAGACATAATATAGACCCTTAATCAGTAAACACGTGGTGAGGGAATTTAGCCTCAGCCTTATCCTTAAATATCAGTTTCATTCCATTACATTTACCCAAATTGCATTTTGCTGGCTATTTACTGTGCTCCCTAGGAATACATAGTGACAGAAAGCATTTGCACATTCTTTGTTCCCTACAAATGATCTCTCCACCCTGCCTCCTCTTCAGTTCATACTGACAAAATTTGCTTTCTGTCCTTTAATAGTCACTTACTAAGCTACCCAAACTATGTCCTCTTTCCTCAATGATTTCAGAAACTGGTCCACATTTTCACTCTCTTCCTTGTTTCCTGCAAAGCTTATGACTACATGGTATAATCTGATTGTAACAGGGTGGTCCCCAGGAAAGGGGGAGGTTCCATTTTCCCTGCCCCACCTAAAAGGAGGGTGGAGCTGAGCACAGAGAGAAGAGCTGCAGAGGAGACTGAGGAAGGAAGGAGGTAGGATGGAAAACAAGAAGGAGACCTAAAGGAGGCGCATGGAGCCTAGAGACGCGTGAAGAAACTGTGCTTGCCTTTTGGTCGTGGACTGGGTGACAGAGATGTGGGTGAAAGACCGGTGGGGAGGTGACAATGGCGGTTTTTGTCTTGATTTTGATTTTGTTCTTTTCCTTCTGGGCTTGTCTGGTTGTTTCTGACCCTTTTCTGTGGGTCCCCACTGGAAGATACTTTAGACTTGTGACAGGTTTTGGGGCCTTGCTCTGGGCCAATCCCATTTTTTGGATGGACTTTTACCCACGAGGGGACGGGTAACTTTGGGTGCTTGATTTAGAAACTAGATTCTTTGCCTTTCCTGTATTGTTTCCTAGTTGTATTAAAGTTCCTTCCCATTAAAGTCTCATATGCTTTGTGTTGATGCGGCGGATGGCAGAACCCATTTAAAATAGGCAGGTTTGCGGGGTTTGGGCTGCCCCTCTCCCGCCCTGTTACATAATCATTTCACAGTACCTCAACCTTCTCACTTTAGTAATTTCTGCTAGCCACGAGCACATCCATATAACTCTTCAAGTTCATGAACACTGAAATTTTATAGTTTCTCATGTATGACATGGTCAATCTTTGTATCTGAACATGCTGACCTCAATATGACTACATTTAGAAAATAATTTTAGAGATCTTCTTAACATGCAGATTGTTCAAAGAGGACTTGAATTTTGCAATTGGAGACATTTATAGTTAGTATATTTGACTGCAGAGAACTTAACAGTTTGACACCAGTGGGACTTCAAAATTTTCTTCTTCTTCTGAATCCTTTCCCAACACCGTACCTAATAAACAAAAATTTATTTCCATGAGATGTAATTCAGTTCCCCACGTTTATCGACACCTTTTATTTATGAGATAAAGATCTAGGAAGTTGGGCCTCCCCTGGTGGCACAGGCAATTGAGCGCAGTGCTATGAAGCTGTTCATAGCCTCTGTAGCACGGGTTCGATCCCGGCAGACCGGAGAGATACCCACATGGCATGGCAGACCAATCCTGACTCTCCCGCTGCTCCCTCAGCAATGTATTTCAGTCAGTCTGCCTGTTCTGTTCCCCACTCTGTCTCTGGTGAATCCTCTCACTCTCCCTCCCATCAGGCCTGTACCCTGGTTCTTGAATAAATAAATCTTAAAAAAAAAAAAAAAGATCTAGGAAGTTGGCTTATATCAATGAGAAACACAGATAAAGCAACCTGCCATTTTGGCATTAACATTTCGTTTGAATTATCCTGCAGACCGCATCATATTTTGCCTTTTAGTCTACAGACTGTTTATAATTTTACGAGTTGCTGTGTTCTACGGGAACTTGGGATCACATAAATCCTGGCATTTTCTAGCTTAAACAACATTTCTAAGTGTCAGTTTCCTCTTCTAAGATAACAGCAAGTACCCTCATAGTCTTGTGGTCAGGTTAAACAAAGCAATGTTTAGAGTGTCTTGGATAGTGGCTGGCACATAGTCTGTACTCTGAAACTTTGTATCACTATTATTTTATTATAAAAACTATTATTATAGTTTTTATTAGTAGTACTGATATTTTAATAGGAATAAATACAGTAACAGTACAGTTTTAAAAATTAAAACTGTACAAAAAATTGTAGCTGTTTATATAGTATCTCCCTGATGGAGGACAAGAATAGATAAACTGGAGAGGAGGTGCCACAAGACTAGAAACCTGGCTCACACCAAGAGGTGGGGGTAGAAGGGATTAACATAGCCATTGACCCAGCTATAGAAAGCAAGATCCTTAGGCACCAAAGTCTAGATTACAAAACTTAAGTTCCAAGCAGGTATCAGACTGCCCTAGGGAGTGTCAGGAGCTCAGGCTCAAAGGTAAAGACATGGAGATTGAGCCCATTGTACTATCTCCTGGTCCCTTTTAGTCCCTTTCAGATTCTGCATAGTTATCCCAAATCAGCAACAAACTGCTCCCAAACAGAAGTCTCTATCAGTGCAGTCTCTGCCTGGCTCAGGGCAACAGTTCCTCTGCCCACCTGTGCCTATGCAGGTGCCTCTTTTCACCAACTCTCTCCCTCCGCAGGGCAGCAGCCTCCTGCCTGCACAGGGCAGCAGCCTCCTGCCTGCCCGTGCCCTGGACATACCAGGGCTTCTCTTCACTGACCTCCCTCAGTGGAGGCCACTCTCCTCAAGGCTGCCTGCCTGCAACCACGCAGGCCTCTCTCAGCAAACCTGTCTTTTTCAGGGCAACTGTTCCTGCCCACTTGTGTCTATGCAAGTGTCTTTTACTCTTCTGTCCCTTTTCTAATAAACCTGCTCTTTAAATATAACTACTGTCTCTGTCTCACGGGGAAACTCAGCTGGTAAACTCGCCACAAGCTGCTAAAAGAGGAGCTCTGGTGACACCTTACCCAGAGTGAGCCCAAGGACCCCGCACTTCAAACCCATTGACCAAAAAAACGACTTCATCCCTACTGAATAGTACACTCCCTGTAGTGGCTGACTGATTCTCTCTTCCTCTTTTTTTCTATCTCCTATCCACGCATAATTTCAAAAATGAGAACTATATGCATGGCATGACATTGGCATCCAAAAGATTTCTATATTGAATTTAATTTAGAAAGTGTGATTTTACCTTAATGACTTTCAAGTTTTAAATTGCTTTGCAAATTTTCCAAAATAATATTTTTAATACCTACCAATTCCTTAAAATAAACCTGGAAAGCAAATTATCAGATATTGTGAATCTAAATAATAATGGGCTTATAATTCACTCTCTTATTAAGAAAAATTATTGTTGACTTCCTGCTCACAATAGAGATTTACTTGTGCATTACAACTTATAATGCACATGAAAATTTCAGCAATGCTAATCGTAATGGAGTGTGGAGCATATTATTGTCAAGTTTTGGATTTTCCTTTATGGAGAGGCAAATCTGAGAGATGCACAACTTGGAGGTCATTTTGAGTTCATTTATTTCAAAAGGTTCAAATCATCCAGTTTGAGGCCAGCAAAGCCTAGTCTCCAACCTTTCCAAAGCCTAGATTTTCCATATTTGGTATGCTAATGACTAATCAAATCACAATCAGTATGCATTTTAAACCTCAATGCAAATACAGACTTTCATTTGGTAATGTAAATACATGAAAATAATTATGGAAATTTCCTTGGGTGAAGGGCAGCAAATAGTAATACAACTAATATGCTAGTTATTTTATTAGTCCTAAGTGCCTCAATCTGGCAAAAACTTTGCAAGGCTATCTGGCACCTACTGTCTTATTTTCATTCATCCGCTTCTGAAACACTTAGAAAAGAACATCATAAATGAGCCAACTTACTTTGACATCGTCCTTCACAGTTTAGCTATGATTTTTTAGATAACTTATGATAACTAGACAACTATATGGCTCAGCCTGTCTTCAACACCTTAGATCATTAATATGAGTATTTGGAGGTAACTTATATTTGGGTGATAAAGAATTATAGGAAGAATGAATGGGACTATACAGCAAAATGATGACGATGAGTTTTTTTTTTTAATTGGGAATTTTTCTTTTGAAAGTGCAAGATTTATTTTGCACCATTGACTTGTGACCATAGCCTGTCTCTGAAGGAATTAAGTTGACTGCTAAAGAAGGCAGTGTGTTATCTCTCTAAGAGCCATTTACTGCACTGTCTTGCACCTAGAATTAGAGGCAGGCAAGATAATCTTATCAATAGTTCAAAGCAAACCCATCTTCAGATTTCAAACTAAGAAAGAACAATAGGTATTGTAGAATGGTCTGCCATTGCCATGCGTTACTTCAAATTATTCCCATAAGTGTACAGGGTAGATCCCGAAAATTTCTCTCTCATTTTTGAATCTGTAGACAATCCTAATATTTTGCCTTATTAACTATATATAAAGAATTTGATGCTAATATTTGTAAAATAAATATGTAAATTACAAGTTTACAAAGTGTGTTAGTGGTAAATTGAGATTTGAATAAACTCTCTCATGCAAAGATTAATACCATTATGTTAAAAACACCAATTTAAAGGGATGTGATTTACCTGTATGTTCATTGTAGCACTATTTACCTGTATGTTCATTGTAGCATTTACCTGTATGTTCATTGTAGCACTATTCACATAGGTAGGAAACAGCCTAAGTGCCCAACACAGATGAATGGATTAGGAAGGTATACACAACGGGATGATCTCTTGCCATTTACATCAATGTAGATGGGGCTGGAAGTGATTATGGTAAGAGAAATAAGTCAGAAGGGGAAAGACAAATACCCATTTCACTTATATCTGAAATACAGAAAAACAAATCAAAGGCTGAGATGAAACCAAACCAATAACCAACCCTTGAAATCTGACAATAGGATTGAAGCTACCCAAAGCGGGGGAGTGGGATAGAGAGAACAGAGCAGGGAACAAAAAAAATGGACTGCAGTGGAGGACTACGTGGGTGTGGCGTGGTGATATAAACCGGAAGGGGGTGATCCTGTACCTCTAAATCATATGCAGCATTGTAAAACAATATTGCCTCAATAAAAAAATGATTAATATCATTCTGTACAAGATGCGAGGCGGAGATTAGCATATTCTGAGTACACACTATTATCTACTTGCTTGCTTGTAAATAGTATATCTATACAGAGCTATAGATATGATATATGACTTCTTATAACACAATGAGGGCTCATGAATTTAATAATATGCTTTTCCTGTAAAGAACAATATAATTCAGCTGATTGATTTTTCTCTGCTATATATTAAAGTTGTCATTGTTGCAAATTTAGATAGACACGTTTTCTTAGAATCTAAATATTAAGTTTCTATAAAAAGCTGTAAGTGGAAATGTAATAATCTTAATAAGTCTAGTTTTCTATTAGGAATGTGGAGAATGTTAAAAGGACATTAGTAAAGTGCTTTTCAGAGCAAAACAACCAAGGAGGATTTGCCAGGAATTAAGGCAACATGATGAAGCATAATACAGACAAAAATTACTGTAGTTTATTTATTACAAATAGCTCAGAATGGTTAATGAGGACTCCTATCTTGTTCTGATAAGTTTTAAATCATAGGCTCAGCTCCCCCAAATTCAGTCTAAACTCTGATTATTGCAAATGCATCTACCTTTATTATCACAGCTGCTGTTTTTTCTCCCACACTTTGAAATTGTTACAAACATGGAGAATTTACACTTGTCACAGAAATATCTGCTATGAAACACAGTATATATTTATTTCATTTTAAGAAATCATATAACTCTTGTGGATAGTTTGGTTATGTGGTGCATAAACTTCTCCATGACAGTAAACTTTGTGTCCTTGTGAAATGAACTAATTTATCCCAGATGCATTAAATCCACTGAGTGAAGTTTTCTGTGCAAGCATACAATCATTGCAAAGATGTGGACAGTTATTCCCGAGGAAATATTTACTTACCACAATATCAGGCTTTTTATTGTACCACCTGCATGTTTACTGGGATAAAATTCCATATTTAAGAGAAATATGCCCAAGCAACATAAGTCAGAAGCAATTAACCCTAAGTATTTTTTTAAAGGTGTAGCATCTCGTTAAACTCAGGCAATATCACGTGTTTCTGATTATGACTAAATTGTGTAACTTTCTGTAATCCTTCCACTCCACAGGATTTGGAAAATCCTATATATTGACAACAAATGGTGTTTATGATTTGGTAAAGTTTGTCTAGAAATTTATTGCTTTTTACCTCCTTTTACCAATCAGTATGAAACACTCAACCAGTCTATATACATTTTAGAATGAGTTTACCCATGTCACTTGTGTGCATCTTCAATTGGCAAGGCCAAAACAGAACAAATTTCCATAAATGTCAATGGAAGCTCTTCTCATCCACCAAATTATCTGGATTCTGTAAGACCTCAGAGTCTGATAAAAAATGTAGGGACCTTTAAACTTAGAACAACACTTTGGAAAAGGTGGAATTCACTCTAGATTGTTGTAGAAATTGAGGAAGGAAGAACTAGATATTGTTTGATTAGAAATGATCTCATTTGCCTCCCTTTTACTCATTGCATTTTTTTTCACTTAAAAAATATACCAACCATAACACTTGCAGCCTTTGTTAAAAAGGAAGATGATGAGCAAAGGAAAGATTAGAATTTTTTTGGTAAAAGCACTGGGTATTCTCTTTGACCTTGAACAAATCCCTAATCTTTGAAAGTGAATTTTAGCATATGTAAAGGATTAAACAAGTCTAAGCATGTGAAACATCTAGTTAGCACACTAGTTCAAGTAGATTTTTTTTTTAATTGTAAGAAGATTTCAGTAAACTGATTTCATATTGTAGTGTAGTAAAGATGCCTGGAGTATCAGCTTAAGTAGAATATTACTAAGGTATGTGCTGGAAAATACCTTTAGAACAAGTTTGCCCTTGGTGGGGGAAACAAAGAGCCTTGCTTTTTAGGAGGTTATTTTGTTAGACCTGAGGATTGTAAAATAAGTTCCTTGAAATCATGATGTAAATTATGTATAACAAAAATTGAATATTCAAGTGCTATTAAATTAATTACAGGAGTTTTTTTTTTTTTAACTGATGCAATAACTCTTATTAATTTTGCTCCTTGGAAAGAACATTAGCCAAAGGATTTTGAATACAAAGTAGACTGAAATAGTTGCTGAAAATGGCATTAAAATGAAGGGACAGAGATCAGGTTGCTTTGGAGCCTCTGGTCCAACATCAGTTTGGAGAATGTGTAATTAAATTTAAGGCCAGGTGTTCAGTATAAATTATCCAAGCCTAAGCCACTTTGATGGATCTTTTGTATTAAGGGCTTGAACCTATTTTTTTTTTTTTTTTTTGTGGGACCCTCGCTTGCCGCCGGGGAACAAACCAGTGCTACAGATGCTGCGGGCAGCCTCGCAGCGCAGCGCTCAACCTCTGTGCCACCAGGGGAGGCCCTTGAACCTATTCTTAACATTAGTCCTCTTTCAGTCTATAATGACCTCCCAGTCAGTGCCTGAGATGGTAAGAGCCCAGAAAAATTTCTCCAATTTTTATCACCTGCTAAATTGACACCAAACAATAAACAAATGAGGAGATGTGCACTTGCTGGAAAAAAAAAATTCTTCTCATGAGGGTTTGGGTAGCTGGTGATAGAAAAAGGCATATGTGCTTGGATACCAACATGGCTCATTATAGATGGAACCTTACTGAGCTGTGGTCTATAGGAGTATAGATGCAGAATTTAACACAGATGGTAACTTCTTTCTCCATTTATAACATTGGAAGATTCGCCAAATAACTTCATTAATAGTAAGATGTGGTCAGAAACACATGGTCTTGGCTGAAATAGAATTGATTGAGGATGCGATATTGAAATAGTTGTGACCATCTTAGGGAAGATTTTGAAGCAAAATATAATATTACAGTTTTTGATTTCCAGTGGATGCAAGGAACATGTATCTATCATTTCTCTTTAAAAGTTATACTTAAAAACCAAAATGAGATAGAACCCCACATTGTGAGGATGGCCCATATCTTAAAAAAGCAGAAACAACAAATGCTAGTGAGGATGTGGTGAAAAAGGAACCCTCTTATGTTGCTGATGGGAATGTAAACTGGCCCAGCCACTATGGAAATGTTTGTGGCATTGTCTCAAAACACTGAAAATGGACTTACCATATGACCCAGCAATTCCACTCCTAGGAATCTACTTCAAGGACACAGCAACACTAATCTGAGAATATCACTATTTATAATAACTAAAATATGGAAACAATCTAAATGCCCCCAAACAGATGAATGATTCAAGAAGATATGGTATATATACACAATGGATCAAAAACGATAGCCTCATGCCATTTGCAGTAACATGGATGAAACTGGGAGGGATTATGCCAAGTGAAATCAGTTAGAATGAAAAGGAGAAATATCTATGGTTTCACTTCCATGTGGAAGCAAAACAAAGAACCAGGACAAGGACAAAATTTGCAAGCTGACCATAGATCTGAGGCATACAGCGGGGGTGGGGGGGGTGGGGAGGGAGAGCAGTCAAAACAGGGGAGGGCTCAAAACAAAGGAGGGAAGAGCACAAGGGACTATGATGATGGATCATAGGTACAACGGGGACTATCTGTGAGGGGAGAATATTGTCTAAAAATGATTTTTTAAATAATAAATAATAAGTAATAAAAATCACATATAAATTATTTTGGTAATTAGAAAAAGAAAATATAAAAATAAATCCATTAAGTCAGGTTTGTGTCTAAGGACATTTTACCCCATCTCCTCAATTCATAGCTACAGAAAAGTCTGGTGATGTCAACAACAGTTCAGATAAAAGACTTGGCAAAAAGGTGAAGATGACTTCTTTAAAAATTGCTTGGCAACAAGAATAGTTTGTTATTTTGCATACTGGCTTATCCATCCAACCATCCATCCATCCATCCATCCATCCATCCATCCATCCATCCATCCATCCATATATTTATGTGTTGAGTAAGTGAGTGAGTAGGATGCCGATGGGACCTTTGTTAAAATATAGCTCATTGGAAAACAAAATCACACTGCTGTCCACATTGCTGGACCAGAAGTTGGGTCCACTGAGCATGTATTTGGTTAGCATTTCAGCCACTGAAAAACATTTATATAGAATTAAACAAATTCTTACATTTTTTATGTTGCAATAACTTTAGATGTAAAGAAATGTTACACAACTAATACAGACCACTTACCTATGCCCCTCACCATGCCTTCCATAATATTTAAAACTTACTTTTGATGTATAATCATCATAACTCGGGATTTAACATTGGTACAGCACTATGAACTAAACTGCTAGTCATTTGTGTTTCATTAGTTATTTCACTATTAACCTGTGTGTCAGAAAAAAAGCTGGTATTCCACACTGCATTTTGTTGTGTGCCTACTTGGCTTCTTCCCATAGTGACAGCTCTTGAGTCTTGTCTTTCCTGATCTTGCTACTGTAAAGAAGTGCTGATGAGTTAGTTATTTTGACACGTGTCCCTCAATTTGGTTTCTCTGATATTTATTCATGATTAGATTGAGATTACACATTTTGGCAAGACTGCCATGCAAATGTTACTATATCTTTATTGGTTTATCATATTGGGGTACATTATACTGAGAATTCTTAAAATAGATGATGTTAATTTTGATTTCTTATTTATAGTAGTACCTGTTGGTTTCTCCACGTAAAATTACTAGTTTTCACTTTGTAATTCACTCTG